GTATCTCACCTGTCAGCATTTCCTTAAATATGTCTTTAAGGAGTTGCCAACAGGTGCAGTGTGAGTGCCCCTATGTGCTCTGAATCACTTTTCCCCCTTCATATTTGGAGTGCTGTAGAGCCCTAAGTCATACACTCAAATATGTTCTGAGCCTTCTAGCCTAGATTTTTTTTCTTAAGTATTAAAGGATACAAAACACAAATTGCCTAAAACTTCCTTTGCATTATCTTCCATTTGTATCTGGTATTCTTTTGCAAAGCTGGAACACTAAAACACCAACTTTCTCCTGAATTAACTTTCTGTGTTCTCCATTGGTTAGAATTATATAGTACGCTATGCCAAAGTGTGGCTTGTTTATGGTTGAGTATGTTCTGGGAACTCTGTTAGTATTGCCATGGAAAAAAATAGTGATCTATTGTAGTATGAACCAAACCAATGGAAATCTAAGTTTATTAATATATTGTAACCTATAACTGATCACTGGGCTCCCAGACAAATTATCCCAGATCACAGACAATAGATTGACGGAGGATTGTATAGGAGATAGAAAAGGTGCATTAACAGTAATGAATAATTACATTATATAGGAAAAGTCCCCAACTCTGTATCAGGACTAAGGGGGTTAACCAGACTTAGCCTTGAGGCTAGTGCCCTAGTCTTTTCAATCCTGATATACGTTCCTTTCTGTTTTATGAAAGGGTGACACTTTTCCATACTTCCCCCAAAATTCAAGTCTCTGCATTGTTATCTGCTGCCTTTTGTTTCCTTAGGATCACTTTAAGTTACAATATCAAAGCGCATCCTGAATCCCAATAACCATCTTAGTTCTGTGGAATTTTGTACTGGCATAGGAAACATGATCTAAACATAAAATTCCAGTCTTAACTAAGAAAACCTACTTTTAAAGAATTTTAACTTTTGAACTCCACAATGTGATTTGTAAACCATGCCTTATGACTTAGTGTGTTGTTAGTAATAAATAATAGTTTTAACATGTGAATGTAAGATTTCATTTTCATGGACCAAATTATTTTCAGTAATGGGTTGTGTTCAGTATTTATTTTAGCAACAGTAATAGTAGCAATTTTTGTATCTTCCATTTTATCTAAAGGGACATACCCATTTGTATGAATGGGGGCATGTGAATAAATGCATAATTGATCCTTGGGCAAGGCATCTATATTAGATAAAACCATATATCAGTAGTTTTTATGTTTTTTTGGAAAGGTTTATAGTGACATTAAAGTGCAGAGCTGCTTTTAATTTTTTCCTGGAATATTTCAAATCAAATGCTTGTGTATTGTGATAAACTTCAAAAAATATCCATATTATAAAAATAGTATAAATATGCTGACAGATCATTCTCCAGGGCTTTTGATTATTTTCTAATGTTGAAAAATTTCTGATGCAGCTTACTCTACAATTGTGATTTTTTGAAAAACTAGCTGGTTGTGGATTATGTCAGAACAGAATCTAACTCTAATCCAGTATTTTTTTTTCCAGAAGTAGTTGCCCTGGTTTTTTTATACAAACACATTCAAAGGGCAGTTTTAGAGTTTATACAGTGCTACTCTGGATTTACCAATATCAACACTACAAAATGAAATAATCCAGGCTAGTATTTACAGATTTAGGTGTTAATTTGTTTTGTTTTTTACTGAAGAGGGAAGGGATT